ATACTATACAATTCAGATGAATATGTTACGTATATTAAATTCATGCATGGAGCACGTGCAAAGGACACTAGAGAGTTTTTTGTGGTAGCTTTCTTTTGTTTTGGAGATGAGTGGGTGATCTCTGTCCAGATCTCTTTATGGCTCCCAGATGAGGAGTGCTGGCACTGACAACAGCCTGTCAGAGAGAATTATGCACCTTGTGTTGTACCACCGTTCGATCAAATTAAATGAGTCCGTGCCATTTTACATAACATCACGTTTTATTTCCCTGTTGCAAACGATCATATTGGAGCTTCTGACTGTTTTAGGGTCTGAGTAAAGGGTTGCTAGGAAAAGAAAGCAGCCTCTGCAGCTGAAAGAAAACTAGGCTTGTCTGGTGAGAACTGTGTGGTTGACATTTGTGGGCCTGAAACAGCATCTGCAGCACATACTGACAAGCCCATTTAACATAATTACATAGTATATGAAGAAGAAGATTCACACAATAATTATACTTTCTGCAAGTGTGACGAGGCCCTGCTCTACCTCCTCGCCAAAACACAAACCAGCCTTTTCACATTCAGAGGAGCAGCGCAGACAGCTTCAACTTAATAGTAATAGCTGAACCGTAAGCATTCAGGGTTTAAATCAGATGGAGAAATGAAATCAAGTATCACCTGCTGCATGCTAATGCCAACAACAATTAAAGGCCTTTTATTAACTGCTGTTTCACTTCCCTAATGACTGTTCAATAAGAGGAGTAGGCTCTCACGTGAAATTTAGCCATGAAATTCAGTCACGAGTTTACATCAATGAGAGTGGAGGAGAAGCACAATTAATTATTAATTTGGGCTTTGTACTCCTTTGCTGCAGTAACAGCCTCTAATTCTTCTGGGAGGGAATTTACACTAGATTGAACATTGGATGAACAATGGAACATTGCTTTGAGTTTAAGGACTATTCGACAGAATTAGTTCAAACTGCGGTCACACAGTAAAAAAAATCTTTAAAAAACAAGTAAGTAATCAGATCTTAGATATTTGTAAGGATTATGTTACAATCTATTTAAACCAATGACATCAGCTGAGATAGTAGTAAGCTAAATATACAGCATTGTAAAAAATTAAGAGCAAATGAACAGTTTCTCTGGTTTTACTATTTATGTGTTTTAGGACATAAGTGAACATGTGTGTTTTCTTCTATAAACTACTGACAACATTTCTTCCAAAATCCGATTAAATTATTAGTATAAATTATAAATTATTGTCATTTAGAGCATTTATTTGCATAAAATGACAACTGGTCAAAATAACAAAAAAAAAAATGCAGTGTTTTCAGACCTTGAATAATACAAAGAAAACAAGTGCATATTCATTTTTGAACAACACAATATTAATGTTTTAACTTAGGAAGAGTTTAGAAATTGATATTTGGTGGAATAACTCTGAATTTCAATCCCAGCTTTTATGTGACGTGTTTTTTGAACCATCCTCGCTGTGCACTGCACCCCAGCTGCCCTTTGCCATTGTTTTTGTGGGTCACTTGATGTCATCCTGTGGTTGTTCAGAGACATTCGAATGAGCTGGCGGTCATCCCAGTCAGTGGAGAGTGTTTTCACACTCTACCGGTCTGTAGCTTTGTTGTCCACAAGGTCTGCTGCTTGACCTTGTTCTTCTGAACTGCCGTCTTTGAAATTTTGAGGATGGAAGCAGCCTGACGCTCCTGATCCCCCTGCTACTAAAGCCAGAACTGAACTCTTCTTTTCCTCATTCAAAACGTTTCTTTTCCACTCTTTTGGCAATAGTTACTTTTGAGGTACTACTAGTACTGTTTTTGCCATCCAGCTGGTCCGATTGCAAGAGTATAGTGATGACCACAGCAGTGGTTTTTATACTTTTCCTTGTTAAGTAAGACTTGGTTCAGGTGATGTAATCAGATGTAAGACAATGGACTTTATTAGTCCCACAATGGGGAAATTCCCAGTACCTCATTAAGCAGAATGAGGTGTGCCTCGTTTGAAATAGAGTCTCATAGAGACTTCAGAAAAATTTGAGTGGTTTCTTATTTTTTTGCAGAGCTGCATATAAAATCATCATCTGTAGGGTACTTTCTACTGGCAAGTCGCTGGTCCCACTTTTTGAAGTTGACAGATTGAGATTTATCATGAGTTTAACTTTGAAATAAAATTACTTTTTCAAAAAATTCTGTAGGGAAGTGAGACTTGCATCCCTGTCCCTCACTGCTAGATAGAGCAGGTGAGCAGTTAGATCCCCTTGTGTTAAAGTAAATGTATTCTAAAGTCTGAAAATTAGTGTGTAACATTAAGAATTGTCTCTACTGAAACACATTTAAAAAAATTATTAAAGTTTATGGTGTTAAAATAAAAATTAAAATAGTGAAATTTTAGCTAAGTTTGCTAGTCATGTACCCGGATAGTGTTTTGAAGTTGGATGCTCAAAATTAGCTAAAATTTTCCCTACTGAAATTCTTTAGTAACAAATGGAATGTTTAATCCTTTGTTTTAATAAAATAAATAACATAAATAATAAGCATAATAAAATAAACATTACTAATATATATATATATATAACCTAAAAAGGAATTTAGGTTAAAGTACAAGTCAGAGGTTAGGTAAAAGTCCGAAGTGAGCTCTTAACTCTGACTTTGTACCAATTCAGTAGAACCACCCATATACACAGAACTGTGCAAAAAACAAGCTACGCTAATATTACAACAAATAAAATTAATATAATAATTAACAAATAAAATTAATATAATAATTAACATAGTAAGTAGTGTTTTTATTTAAGTCAATGTGTTCTTTTAAACATTTCCAAACGTCTCCTCGTGGTAGCCCAGTAATAATTGTAATTATTATCCAATACCTATTTTGACATCAATTGTTTACAGTTTTTATGTCTATTCACATTTATTCTAATGAAAAATGTTTTCTTTACAAGCAAAAACATATTTATTGTCCAGATAAATTAAACGATGTGCTGAAGTGCCCAAGACTTTAACACAGTACTGTATACATTTATTGTCGCTGTCGAGATAAAATGCATCTCCACTATGGTAACTTTCAGGAACATTAACTTATAATGGACGTGAATGTAAAACCTTTTTTTCCAAAGTAATTTAAATAATAATTAAATACTCTGGTCAATTTCTATTGGCCCATTTCTCAACAATAAAAATGGAGATACAAGGCTGTGACAGAACAGTGATGATATTTGTGCCAAAATATAGTTCAAATCATTTATCTCAGCTGTAAGTAGGATAATACAAATACAAGCAAACTTTAATGCAGTAAAAAGGAAAAAAAAACATTGTTTTAAAAAAAAAGTAGTTGATATCTTGTGGCCTAGTCAGAGGAATACAGGTTCGGATCCAGAGTTCTGCAATTCCAACAGCAGCACACCTGATTTCCTTGATTTGAATGAAGGACTGACCAGCAAGCTTATAAAAAGAGGTTTGAAAACAGACATAAAATTACTGTATGAATCTTATTTGTATTTATATGTTTTCTGAGGAAATACACGTTTACTGCCCAGATAAATAGCTTTTTAAATAAGATTTTCCCAGGTGCCTAATTATTTGCACAGTAACGTAGGACTTATATAAATGAAACAACAACAATAGGTACAATGAAGTGCTTTAAAATACTTTACAATACAGTAAATAAAATGAAGGGCTGGGAAGCTGCCTTAAATAACCAGTGTAGTGCTGTTGGATGATCTGAATAAACTAGCTGGAACATATCTAACAGTCACTGTATGAAGGTAGAGAGGGGCCGTACCATGAAGGTATGTGACAATTAGTAAAAGAATAGTAAAATCAGACAAGTAGACAGGTAGCCAATGCTTGTTGGCCACAACACATTACCTGGAAGCACGCCAAAACTAAAAAGAGCTGTATCACAGAAGACTGCCGGTGTCTTTAGGCAGACTTTAGGAAGTCACTGATTGCAAACATAGCAAATTTTGTTCAAAATTCTGTAATTTTGTTCATTTCTTTTTAGTCTGCTGAAATGAGTGGGCTATATTTCAAAAGGACTGAAGGTACTACATAGTTTATGTAACAGCCTTGAGTTAAAACTGACATTCAGCACTTTAGCTTCACAGTCAATGTTTCTTTTCAAATCCAATGCGCTGGAGTCCACAAAAACACTGCGTCAGTGATCACAGGTAATCAAACTGCACCACAGATCACATCAAAGGTTATGCTGTAGAGCTAAAAATCACATAACCAATTTCACCAATCACTTTATGCATTTATTAATGTATATAGAGAGAGCTGAATTTGACTATTGAATATTGAGGTCTGAGCACAAGCATGACCCCAATAACCAAATAACAACATGATGTCATGTTACTAAATTGTAACAACCAGCTGTTTCGGTTTGAGTGGCGTAAGCAAGCGGTAAATTTATCACATGAACAATATACCTGCTGTGCTGTAAAAAAAAATGCTGCTTTAGAAAACTTTACTGGGCTGCCTTAAAGTTTTGAGCTAACTGAATTCCCAGTTGTAACATAACAGAACAAAAATCTGTCTCTTATGCTCTGTTCACTTAATTGAAGTTCAGTTAACTCAAAAGTTTCAGGCAACTCAATTACCAACATTTTACAGATATGTTACAGTGTGGCATTGACCAATGGCATCACTCACTGTAAAAAATATTTGTTGTTTTATATATATATATATATATATATATATATATATATATATATATATATATATATATATATACACACACAACATATATATATATATATATATATATATATATATATATATATATATATATATATATATTTATACAATGTACTGAAAGGTATATATTACAATTTGTAAACCTAAAATTTTAGTTTACCATTTGTTAATAGGGAAATAAAAATTATCACTCGTATTCATGACCCATTTTAATTTAGTTTATAACTGTACAAGGACTGTACATTCACACTACTGAAGCTGGTCAATAAACAGGGGAAGGGGGTTCTGGGTATTGTAGTACTCACAGCCAGCTGAGCAGAGGCATGTAGTGACAGAGGCTGAGTTTAGATAGCTGGACCAAGGACGTGTTCACCATAGACCTGAAAGACACACAGAACACACTGACATTACATCCAGCATACAGCACAGCTGTGCACAGAGGTGAATTATACCTTAAGCAAAAGGTTCCTGATTCACAAACTGTTATGATATTTTTAGATGTTTCTTATGTTTTACAGTGATGATTTCTAAACATTTTCTCATTCTCAGAAATGAGGGCGGGTCCATTCAGCTTTCTTAACCTCTGTCTTTCAAACAACCTCAGGTCCTGCTGACCACACCAAGAAAAGGTACATTTAAAGACAGCAGAGTTTTATCATCATGTTCACTCCTGTTATGCCCAACATCTGCCAGGACACTGTGTTGTGCAGATGGTGTCCATGCCGTACTTTCTATTTTCTATTAACAATGAGGCACTCAAGAGTTTCTTTTGACAGTGGGTCTTTAAAATGGCTTTTCTATTGTATCTGAAAACATATTCTGCTAGAAACATGAGATTTTCTGAGAATAACTGGTTCCAAGCGACAGCAACACTACATGCAGAACTAATGAATGTCAAGAAGAAGGGAAACAAATGTCCAAGAGCAACTGTACACTAAGAAAAATGGAAGGATGAGAGACAGCGAGGCAGTAGCTAGGAGGAATGGGGTGGTGGGAAAAATAAAATATAAATGAGAAATTGGTGAAATAAAGAGGGGCCAGGACAGTGTAGGGTTTCTCTCTTTACACTGTTAGGTTCTGTGCAGGTACATTTTTAGTTCATGAAGATACAAACAATGCAAACGTAGCCGCAAATGTACAACAGTTGTTTTAAGGTCTGATTGTGCACCTTAAATAAGTTTTTCCAGGTGAAAAGTTCGTATTTGTACCTTTTCATAACTGAATGTTTTAAAACAGAACAGTAAAATAAAAGCCTGGAGACGAGACGGGGTGTGTGGAGTCAGTACAGCTTAGAACATATCATTTCAGTGGATTATGGTTCAGTTATGTTCCCTGACTAAAGGTACTGAGATGTACTACCCCAGTGGCAGGAGGGATACTGTCCCAGTGAAACATTTTCTAATTAAAAGTGCATTAATATCTATGTTAAAAAAACAAACAAAAAAAAACCCAAAACAAAACAGGATGATGTTAGAATTACAATATACACTGATCAGGCATAACATTATGACTCCTTGTTTCTACACTCACTGTCCATTTTATCAGCTTCACTTACTATATAGGTGCACTTTGTAGTTCTACAGTTACAGACTGTAGTCCATCTGTTTCTCTGCATACTTTGTTAGCCCCCTTTTACCCTGCTCTTCAGTGGTCAGGACCCCCATGGACCCTCACAGAGCAGGTACTATTTGGGTGGTGGATCATTCGGTCGTGGGGCAGTCGTGGGCTGGAGGTTAGGGAACCAGCCCTGTGCCCTTGAGCAAGGCACCCAACCCCCAATTGCTCCCTGGGCACCGTGGATAGGGCTGCCCACCGCTCCGGGCAAGTGTGTGTGTTCACTAGTGTGTATGTATGTATGTGGGTGTTTCACTGCTGGAGTTTTTAAACACTGTGTCCACTCCATTAGACACTCCTACCTTGTCAGTCCACCTTGTAGATGTAAAGTCAGAGATGATAGCTCATCTGCTGCTGCACAGTTTGTGTTGGTCATCCTCTAGTTCTTCATCAGTGGTCACAGGATGCTGCCCACAGGACGCTGTTGGCTGGATATTTTTGGTTGGTGGACTATTCTCAGTCCAGCAGTGACACTGAGGTGTTTAAAAAATCCAGCAGCACTGCTGTGTCTGATCCACTCAGACCAGCACAACACACACTAACACACCACCACCATGTCAGCGTTACTGCAGTGCTAAGAATATAGATGCACCTATATAGTAAGTGGAGCTGATAAAATGGACAATGAGCGTAGAAACAAGGATGTGGTCATAATGTTACGCCTGATCGGTGTATAATTCATTGTGAAGACCCACTCCAGAATTCACAGAATGGATTGCTTACATCTAATTGTTTATTCTTTAATCAAGAAAACATGCAATTTTAATATAAAATGTTTTTCAAGGCATTTTGTTGTCCAGCAATCACCAATATATTAAGAAACCTTTAGTGATATTGTGAGATTTTTGGTTTGAAATTTATATTATGTGTTATATATTATATTTTAAATTGAAAACGTAATTTTGAGAAAAATGATTGTCAGAATCACTCAGAAAATTTTCCCACTATTTGTGGAAATGGTGTCATTATTATAAATGAAATAGACGTATTTGGATATTCTAGTTAGATTGTACGAAAACATTTTTCAACTATATATACATATATATATATATATTAGTCCTGGTTCTGGTTCCTAGCACAGCCTTCTTACAACTGGTACAAAAACAGAAACTAACAATACAGTATTTAATCATATGGAGCCATTTTTTACAGCTGTAGTCTCTGCTCTGCTTGATTGTTTTTTTTTATTTATTTATATTATATTATTATAAATTTAGAGACATTACATAGAGTGAACACAGACACTGCATGTGTTGAAGTATTTAAAATATCAATTTGTAATGGATCATTATTTACACTAAAATGTTTAAGTGACTGAGCTGATTATGGTACTGTTATACCTCATGGATGGATATCATACTGAATAGGCTATTTAATATCACATGATACACATTTTAGGTCTGGAATCAATACTTATTGTAAACAAACGAAAACAGGCACCTTAGAAAATGGTACGTCAAATTATTTATTTAGGCAGTAAGTGTTTATTTGTTCTACAAACACAAACCTGTGTTCTTCTAACTGTATTCAGCTAACCTACATAATAAATAACCTCACTGCCAAACAGCGCATTAATTTTACTGTATTTGTATTCATTCGTATTTATTCCAATTATTACATAGCAAACCAGATACATTAGATATTAGTGGGTGGAGTAGCATGCCTTCCGATCAGCATCAAGTGATTTGAGACGTAACAATACAGCATAAACATGCAAATTGCCATTTTTTTATTAATTGAAAATAACTGTTGTATGGTGGCTCTTTAGTGATCTTATTTATGCCACTGATAAGATAATGCCTTTCTACTTCTAGTCAGGAACCGGGCTGAGGCAAAGAGCTAAATTTGACTGTGAAACTCCCAGTCAAGACGTGATGAGGTAAATACATGTACGATTGTTTCCAAATCACGAAATGAGAGAACTGGCTTTAATTTGGCAATGGTTCAAATTTGAAAAAAGCAAGTTTTTAATTCAACATTTATTTTTGTCAAACTTCAGGGAGGAGTCCAAGATAATTCCAAGAAGGACTTGAGTAGTCATCTACAGGTTTTGCTGGTGAAAATACATCAGTGCATTGTCAGCATAACAATGATAAGAGATATTATGTTTTTGGAAGATGGAGCTCAGGGGGAAACACACAGAGAAAATAAAAGAGGACCTAAAATTGAGCTTTGTGGAACACCATTGGTGAGGGACACAGGGAATGATTAGAAAAAGTTCTGTCCTTGGTACAAGCTGAACCAATTTAAGACTCTTGGATATTTACCATGTGGTTAAGATGATTTAAAAGGATACTGTTGTTGATTACCTCTAATATACTTTTGATAAAATTTATGATTCAATTCACTGTCACATGAGAATAGCGACGTGTGATGTGTAGATGTATCACTATAAGATAAATAAATATATAAGATATAAGATTAATAAATATAAATTTTACTTGATCTCCTCTTGAATTTGAATTTAATCACATCACTGACGCCTGACCCATGCAATGCTCAGCTGCCCTTTTAAGCAGCAGCTTGTCCTGCAAGATCAAGTGTCTGTAAAGAGTTAATGTATCTGTTTATCCATCGTTAATGTATTTCTTTGCACAAGTAACTGTTCTCTGTGAGTATGAGAAACTACTTAAGCACAGCTCTCACTAACTTTTTATCAAGGTCACCTTTTCATCTTCTCATCACCAAGAAACAATTCAAGATCACTGAACTGATCCTGGGCGGCACGGTGGTGCAGTGGGTGGCGCTGTCGCCTCACAACAAGAAGGTTCTATTCCCAGCCGGGTGACCAGGGTCGTTTCTGTGTTGAGTTTGCATGTTCTCCCCGTGTCTGCGTGGGTTTCCTGCGGGTACTCTGGTTTCCTCCCACATGCAGTCAGGCAATTCAGCATGTCCTGATTGGACATGCTGAATTGCCCCTAGGTGTGAGTGTGACTGTGTATGTCTGTCTGTCTGCCCTGCGATGGACTGGTGACCTGTCCAGGGTGTATCCTGCCTTCCGCCCAATGACAGCTGGGATAGGCTCCAGCACCCCACCGCGACCCAGAAGGATAAGCGGTTTAGAGTATGTATGTATGAACTGATCCTAGTGCCACCATAGCTCTCCACTGTCAGCATTCTGAGTGGATGAAGCCCTCACCTCCAAGTTGGAGGAGTTATATGACAGTGGGAGTTTCAACTGGAATTCACTAAACTGGGGGGAAGGGCTAAGTAAAACTCCTGCAGAATACCTAAGACATAAAATGTGTATCAGATATCGAAATACTTGATCTCAGTGATCCACTGTCGCCACATTTATGCCTTTTAAATGATGACGCAACCCTTCAGTTTTCTTCAATTCAGCGAAAGATGCTGATGGCGGGTTTTATAGCTACCAAGAAAACTGTCTTGCAACTCTGGATTTCTGTATGTCTAGTTTTCAAAATACATATCTCCATTTTTCATAATGTAATTTCATGCAGAATGGACCAAGAGAAATGGCCCAAAATGACTTAAACAATAAAACAATAAAATGTTGTTGCATTAACTTACATTGAAAGTTAAGAAGGTTTTTTTTTCTTATGTAAAGTTAAATTTTTGAGGTGGAAGTTTTTGTTTTGACACCAACGATATATAGTACTGTGCAGACATCTTATGCACTTAAGCTCATTGTTTAAAACCATTGATCTTGGTAAAAATATATATGGGGTTTCTGCCAGTAAGAACACTATATGTTCAAGAAATTCAAGAATTTCTTATTTAAAAAATAGCACATTTGATTTAATATAATGAAGAATTAAATAGTCAAACAAGGTACTGGACAATGAATGGTCTGAAGAAAGGTTTAGAAATAGTTAAATGAACACACTGAACTATGTAACACCAATGCTGATTATACTGTAGTGTATTCAAGAAACGTGTACATGTTTATTCTGGGTTATTTGTTCTACAGCAGTTCTGGGTTTATTGTGACAATGATTCTCATTCTGAATGGTGGGGTTAGCCCACTCGCTTTGTTTATGCCTGTACAACAGGAAGAACTAGTCAGTCGGAGCTGTCTAGTTTTCAAAATATCGTTCGATGGAATATCTTACAGCAAAGCTTAACAAGGCTAAACAGTCAACAATAAGAAACTGGGAGAATTTCTCTCATCCTTCCAGAATTTAATGACTTTTTTCAAGAATTTTATTTTCCTATTAAAGTATGTAATGTTGTTTAGTTGTCTAGTTGTTGATGTATTGTCTTTGTTTTATTTTTGATTATTGTGTATTCCTAAAAAAGTATGTCACCATCCTACCTTCCCCTTACATTTCCCCACCCTTATTGTAAAACGTAATATAAAATGCAATAGAATGTTGATCACAAAAAAATACTGAAGAAATTTCAGCATAAACCGAGACAAGGCACTGTTTTTTTTTAAATTAACTAAGATGATTTTTTTAAAGCTATGCAGAAGTTTGATTTAAGCTACGTTTACATTACAAGCCTCATTGCTCATTACGATTTTTTTCTCAAATCCGATCTCTGACACGATGGTTCACACTCGTTTAGGTAAGTCAATCAAATCTGTCATTAGTGTGAATGAACCGGCGTCCTGAAATGACCCTCATGAGCTCATCCTACTCAGTAACGTCAAGTGAATGAATCACGTTCATCATCAGCACAAACTAACGAGCAGAACGAGCTTCGCTGAGAAGATAATTAATTCTGATCAGCTCTCAGCTTCATTATTAGAGCGAGACGAAGGAGAAAAAGGTGAGATGAGCTGCTTTTCCACCGTTTACAGGCTTTAACTTCTGTTCGGCGCTGCTGCCATGGTAACGCTGAATGATGGTGCACGCACAGTGGAAAAAAGCACATGAATTCCGATCTGAGGTTCACATTAAGGTCACATGGCCACGAATCGGATACGTATCCGATCTAGGACCACATATGAAAGTGGCTCAGGTCGGATTTAAAAAGATCAGATTTGTGTGTCCACACAGCTCTGAAAACATCAGATCTGAGTCACATTAGGGCAAAAAAACAGATTTGTGCCACTTTAACCTGGTAATGTGAACGTAGCCTTAGATTTTCAAGCTGACATGACATAATGTTTTTACAGTGAAGAAGGAAAAATAACAGAGTCTTCACAATCAAGAGTTCCTTAAGCTTCAATCAGGGTTCTTTTGCAGTGAAACTAATTGTTTCGTAATAACAAGCAACAAAGACAAGAAGCTTTTGTATGAGTTCGTAAAGTGAACACAGTGTTAAAGTGCTTCATGTATGAAACTAGGTTGTAACTTGGGTTATAACTTATAACTATGTTAACTAGGTTATAACTTGAGCATATTTTATAGCCAGTTAGACTCTGGAAGTCTCTGGGGGGGTCTGCTAAAATGTTCCACTAGCATCATTGTAAGAGAACACAGATCAATCCAGTGCAGTGCTGCGGCTCAGTAACCCTCACAGAGATCTGTATGGATTCAAGGAAAGTCAAGCATGAAGTTGCTGATTACTCACAGAAATATTAGCGACTTGAGGCCGATGAAAGTATCATGAGAGATGCTCCTCAGGGGATTGTGATCCAGGACTCTGATGGGAAAATTCAAAATTCAAATTTAAGATCAGACAGCAATCAGACTCTTTCGAGAATAGAAATACAGTTATGATTTTTCGTACCTGACATATGTAAGTAACTTGCAGACAATTCAAACTTGCAAACGTCAGTGGTGTGTGAAAATTCCCTGTAAACTACTTTATGACTCAATTCAATCCGACACTCTCTATTACATTATCATACACAGATCAATTTCTAATATAGGTTTGTCAGTGCATTCTTTCATAATGTGAGCTTCCTAATAGATCTGATCTTCTTGTGTGTCTAACTCCATTAGAATAAATATTATATATATATATATATATATATATATATAAATATCCGAAAAACTTATTTCTTAAAAAATCAACTTAGAAAGTCAACAGAACATGAAATTTAAGTGGTGATGTTCATACACGGTAGGAACAAAACAACATATCTTCATTTTTCATAATAGAATTTTAAAAAGCCAGCTGCCACTCATGCAGAATGGACCCATAGAAATGGCCCAAAATGACTTACCACAAAATTATGTTGCCTTAACTTCCATTGAAAGTTAAGAAATATTTTTTTTCTTTTCTTGTAAAGTTACAGTTTTGAGGTGCAAGGTTTTGTTTCGGCACTGATGATATATAGTACTGTGCAGACGTCTTATGCACTTAAGCTCATTGTTTAAAGCCATTTATCTTGGCAATAACATATATGGGGGTTTTGCCAGTAACAACACTGTATATCATTAGAAAAGATTCAAATAAACATTCTTATTTTCAAAAAAAAACAACACACTTGATTCAACATAATGAACAATGGATTGGTCAAACCAGTTATTGGATAATACTTAATAACTGGTCTCACTCTGAGAGGCAGGATTAGCCAACTTGCTTTGTTTATGCCTGTACAACAGCAAGAACCAGTCAGGAATCAAATGCAAGTGAGTGCAGACCTGAGCTAATGCTAAAGCTAGCTGTTAGCTTTAAGCCTTGCTTTCCATGGCTGTGGCCAACTACAGCCTTTAGTAACGGACAACAAGTTATGTACTTCTTTAACAGCAGTAAATGCTACAATATTAATGTTATTTGTATTTTTTTTTCTAAATTTCGAAAACAATTACCAGATAAAAAGCTTTTTAATTCTAATTTAACATTTCTGCATAGTACTGTGCATATGTACAAATAATATAATGGTAATTAATATTTTGTTGTACTATTTTGTAGTAATTAGACGTAGAGGATAAAGGGGAACAACTGGAATAGGTAGTTTTTTTATCTTGTCACAAATCTTCCTTAATCTATGAGATAATAAATTAATGAATACTAAATTGAAGTGTATCAAATGTGACATTTTTGCGAAGTGCAACTGGGGGTTGTTACTGAGAGTCACTAAATGTATTCTGTTGAACATTTTAAACATAATCGTTCACCGATATGTGACTGAAGGGAGAAGCATGTGCGATAGGATTTGTACTCACAGCCACTGTAATTTGTGGAGGTCTCTGAAAACACCATGCCTTAAGGACATTATGTAGTTCTGGCTGAGGAACCTACACAGAAGAATCACCAGAAAAAATATTACACAGTGTGGAGATTCACTAATAGTAACTTATTAAAATATATTTCAAACAAAGGATTTTAGGGTACAAAATAATAAAGAATAAATCAAATTATTATCAATTCAGCAATTGATTTAGTAACTAGCTTAGCAAATCAGGCAATAGGCTTCCTTAATAAATAAAAAAAAACAAATAGCAAAGGATATAAAGAAGATTTAAAGCAATTAAAAACAGCTCCATCTGTTCAATACTAAGAAAAGCATAAAATGTATTCCTTTCTAGAAGTGATTTCCCCTGTTTCCATTTGGCTCCTGCTTTTATAAAGTCTATGTTTGTTCTGCAAGTTCAGCCCTGAAGGCAAGAGACATGACTCAGAGCTGGAGTGGTACACAGACAGAGTGGGGTTATCTCACAAGCTTTTATGCCCTGACCCATGAAAAATCTTCACTGACCAAAAGCGGAAAATGAGCGGAGAGAACAAACTCTTAAAGTGATGCTTCGTCCAACCCTCAAATTTCACTTTCGCCTTAGCCTAAACTCAGTCTTTCAACCAAGATAGGTTTGATCTGAGATATTTGCTTCAGTAATTTTGCAAATGAACATATTATTGTACTGTTAGCATATCTACATCTCACCACAGTTTGAGGCAAGTGTTGTGGCTATAAGCTTCCATTATTTCTTAGCCTCAAAGCTCCAGTGCAAAAATAAAAAAGCAAAACATCAAATATGCCTTGATTGATCAACTACATTTGGAATAAGGGAATAATTGAGTGAATTACATTTTTGGCGGTTTTACACGGTCCTGGACCAGCACTGTGTAATCAATCGTGTGAGAAGGCCAGTACAGCAAAACAGATGTTCTGTTCACTCTTAAATCAAGGGTGTTGACAGAAAAGAGGGACTCACAGTTTTCTCAATTTGAATAAACCACTGAAGGCATGGCTGGACACTGTGTGGATGCTGTTGTTCTGAAGAAACCTGTGGAAGACAATGATGTCAAATGAGTGTCTGAAAAAGTCTCTGATACATACATACATACATATATATATATAACTTTACAGGAGAAGGAAAAAACCTACTTTACTTTTAATGTACGTCAATGGAACCAGAGTTTTTTCCATGTCATTCTGTTTTTCCATGTCATTCCATGTCTCACACACACACACACACACACACACACACACACACACATACACAAACACATATATATACATATACATATATGTGTGTGTTTGTGTGTGTGTGTGTGTGTGTGTGTATATATATATATATTTTTTTTTCATATATATATATATATATATATATATATATATATATATATATATATATATATATATATATATATATATAGATAGATATATGATATATATGAACAATGATATTGTTATTGGGCTTAATGCAAGAACCACCAGAACATGTAATGTAAGCAAGCATCACGGAAGTCAATATGAGGACACAAAAATGCAAATCATTGCCATCATATCAAAACCTTCTCACTCAATTTTTATGTTTGTTTTTAATTTATATATTTATTTTTTATGTTTTTACTCCATTTGAAAATGCCACCTACTCTTTACATTATACGATTTTTTTTTAAATGAAAGGACCAGTAGAAAGGTTATGGACCCTATATGGACCCTATGCAAATACTATAAACATTTGCATTAAAAAATCATTTTTTAAAATTCTTCTGTAAAGGTGCCATTTTGGAGGTATGAAGATTGTTAAAACAATAACAAAATACACAAAATAGCTGGTCCTGGGTGAAGTGGCAGACTGTCTAAAATAAAATGTTTGACAAAGACTACTTTCTAGCCTGGGGACAAAAAAGAATATAGAGGGATTCTGACTTGGAGAAATAGGTGGCATCCCAGAACACAGGGATCAGACAGGGGTTTGTGTGACAAAGCACAAAAAACTCACAGCGGTAAATCTGTATGGATTGATATGAGGAGCAAAGTGAGGCTGTGATATTTGTCATGCACTTCAGCTACTACAGAACTCTATTAGCTCAAATTTGTGTCGCATTATAATAACAATATGTAGTGTGTAAGAAATAGCACCATAATTTAATCAGAAGAGGCACTCCAAAACAAAAACTACTGATATAATAATGAAGTCAACCATTTAATTACTGTCCTCATGAACAGTAATTACTTTTGGTAATAATAACACATGGATGCCTACAGCCTCTTTCAGTGTGCAGTGAAGTGTTCAGCCAAACCATAACACAATCCGTGTACACTGCAGCCTGTAAGCAACTGGACTGTGACATTAGTTGGCTCTGTATTCCAGATTAATTTGAAATAAAGCAAGAAGTACGAAGATCAGACTATTACCTTTAATCACAAAGAACACGTGTTTTACATTCCTCCTTCCAGGGGAATAAATCTTAAATAAACCAAAAATGGTTCTGATATAGTTACGTGCTTGATATTATGACACTAGCAGAACCCTTTTTGGAGCTATATAGAGCCTTTTTCGAAAAGGTTCTATATAGAACCATATACAACACATTCTCCATCAATCTGAAGAACGATTTGAGGATACAAATACTTTAAGCATGCAAATGGTTCTTTGAGTGTTCACTGTATATACCCTCACATGGTATTACTTACCATGTTAAGAGTATATGAGTAAGTGTTCCTGGAGTATTTTGCCTTTTTCTTGATATTTTTTAATTAGCTCTTATGTTTTCTTTCAAAATTCCTTCAAATAACATTCCATGTTTTAGTTATTATAAGCATTATAGTGTTTTGTGACTGTTTTTTGTCACACCTCCTAGTTTCCATATAAACTCTGACAATCTTACAGACTCCAAATCCCAGAATGCCTCAGTCAGTGACGTGACTCAGCCAGCCAATCGACAGTTAATCACCGGATCAGTCACCTGAAGTCTGATTGCTTTTACCTGTCACCACTAACTGCTTGAAAGTTTGTGAATTTTTATAATTTATCATTTTTTATATTTTTGCAGAAATTTTACCTAAAACTTCATGAGATTTAAACAAAAGTTCTCATGGTAGATAAAGGCAAGGCAAGTTTATTTATATAGCACCCAACACTGCTGTCATTCAAAGTGCTTTACAAGTGAGAAAATTCAGAGTCAGAGTTGTTTAAAAAAGTAAAGTAAGCACAAATAGAAAAACATAATTAAAACATGATTAAAATAATACATTTACATCATTAAATTAAAATCAAATTAAAATTAGGAAATTAAGATAATTAAATAATCAAATTAACTAAAAGTTAGATTAGGATTGAAAAAAGAGAACCTAATTAAACAATTGAAACAAAATTATCAGACTTGGTCATTTATTTATTGAAGAAAATGATCCAATATTACATATCTGTGAGTGGCAAAAGTATGTGAACCTTTGCTCTCAGTATCTGGTGTGAACCCCTTGTGCAGCAATAACTGCAACTAAGCGTTTCTGGTAACTGTTGATTAGTGCTGCACATCGGCCTCTGTACAACACAACTTCAGTTCTGTTATGTTGGCGGGTTTCCTCCCATGATCTGCTGCTTCAGGTCCTTCCATGACATTTCTATAGGATTAAAGTCAGGACTCTGACTTGGTCATTCCAAAACATTAACTTTATTCTTCTTTAATCATTCTTTGGTTGAACAAATTATGTGCTTAGGTTTGATGTCTTGCTGCATGACCCCTGTTCTTTTGAGTTTCAGCTCATGGACAGATGTCCCGGTGATTTTCCTTTAGAATTAGAGTTTATTGTTCCATCAATGATGACCAGCCGTCCTGGCCCAGATGCAGCAAAACAAGCCCAAACCATGATACTACCAACCTTGTGTTTCACAGATGGGATAAGGTTTTTATGCTGGAATGCAGTGTTTTCCTTTCTCCAAACATAAACCTAAAAGATCTATTTTGGTCTCATCTGTCCACATTGTTCCAATAGCCTTCTGGCTTGTCCATGTGATCTTACTGCTTAGAAGTTGCCCTGGGTTCCTTTGTGACCTCGCAGACTATTACACGTCCTGCTCCTGATATGATCTTTGTTGGTCGACCACTCCTTGTGAGTGTAAAAATGGTCTTGAATTTCCTCCATTTGTACACAGTCCAAACTCTTTAGAGATGGCTTTGTAACCTTTTCCACCCTGGTGAGCATCAACAACTCTTCTTTGTTCGTGCCATGAGACACTTCCACAAACATGTGCTGTGCAGATCAGACTGTGATAGATCCCTGTTCTTTAAATAAAACAGGGTGGTCACTCACACCTGATTGCCATCCTATTAATTAAAAACACCTGACTCTAATTTCACCTTCAAATTATCAGCTAATCCTAAAGGTTCACCTACTTTTGCAACTCATAGATCTGTAATACTGGATCATTTTCCTCAATAAATAAATGACCAAGTCCAATATTTTTGTCTCATTTGTTTAATTTGGTTTTCTTTATCTAGTATTAGGACTTGTGTGGAAATCTGATGAAGTTTTAGGTCAAATTTATGCAGAAATATAGAAAATTCTAAACGGTTCATAAACTTTCAAGCACCACTTTATTTATCTCCATCTGTCTGACTTTGCAAAGTATTGCATCTATATTTACCAGTGCATACTGAGTGTTTCTCTTTTTGTCTGTTTTCCTGTTATGACCTTGTTTTGCCTCTCGTTGCTGTGGTTCAGATTTCTCCCTTTGGCTAATGTCACTGGTTTGTTTTCTCTTTGGCTCTGACCCTTGCTTGTTTACTCACTACCTGTTTCTGTCTGATTCCATTATTCGTGTTTTGCTCATTGTGTTTTTGGCCTGGTCTCATCTACTAACTACTCTGGAAATATTTATTAGGTCATGTACAAATGTTGTATCATTTTTTTTTAAGTATTCTGACTTAAATATCTGTTACTTCTGAAGCAAAAATCTGTTGAAATTTGTCAGACATTTGAGACTTCACTTTTTTTTTAAATATATCATTCTAATAGCTTTGCCCATCTTTTCTGTTCTACAGGCTCCATTAAGTATGTAGTGCTTGGTCCCCGAAGGTTGCCATTTGCAGCATAATTTGTGGGCAGATGTTTAGCTTGCACAGCGGTTACAACAGTCTACGGAAATAAATATATTGCACTTCAATTTCAGAGGCAAAGTAGGTCGTCTTCGTTGCTCACAATGATAAAACGTATCACGTTAACCTTTTTTACTCAATGTTCAAAAACTATGACGAAAGAAATCTGAATATATGCAAATTAAACCAACCACATCACTCACAAAATGTGGCTCTCTTTCACATTATCTTAGATCTGACAGGCCTATAAAAAGTAAATACTGTATCTGTTGGTTGGCGGAATAATGACCATAAAAAGCTGCTGTGCTATGTTTGGGGGAGGGTAGGGTCAGGATACTCTGTTGCCAGTAGACCCCCCCCCACACACCTAAAACTGAACACTCTTCAAATTTACACTATTCACGTGATGGGCAAGAACACAAGAACACAAAACTGTCAAAAGAAGAAAAAAAGAGAAGTTTTTCCCAGTGACTGAATTTTTTGTGATCATAATGTTAACATGAAGAGAAAATGAATTGGTATGAAAATCAATAAAATATATATAAAACAGAAGCATATATAGAAGTCAATGTGATTAACTTCAATATAAAAAATTAATATACTACATTGGATCAGGTAAACAGAGGTTACATTAACTTAAAAACATTACTAAAACACAATATTTTGAGTGATAACTATCTGCTCTTTGTCTGTCAAACATAAAAAGTTTGCATGTATTCATCACAATACATATTTAAAACCAAACGTAATGTATGAGGCAACAAATTTACTCCAATGTTTACACTTCATGGCGCATGATCTCCATTACAATCTCTTCGACCTTAAACAAAACTACAAAAGGTGTTACACGGAACTACTGGATTAAGCATGTAACTTCAGAATGTCACTCCAGAGTGATCCCAGCCCTGCTTTGGTCTCCCAGAATATACTGTTGTTATCGGGAGTTTATAGGCTG